CTCTCTCTCTCTCTCTCTCTCTCTCTCTCTCTCTCTCTCTCTCTCTCTCTCTCTCTCTCTCTCTCTCTCTCTCTGTGGCAACATTTGCACATAAAAAATATAAAAAAATCCTAGAAGTTATGATCAAAGGTAGTTTGGGAATAAAAAACTATAAAAAAAATTAAGACTCTAACATAAATATAATTTTCATTAACTTTTTAAATTATAATCTTGTAGCTCACCCATCGAAAGTGTAGTGCTGGAATCCAAAACGCTATAAAATTATTAAAATTTTATTTTTTGAAATTTGAAACTCTAAAAATAATGTGGAGGTAATGGATCTATACACACCTTAAAATAGATGGGCTAGATAATGTTTTACAAAATATATTTTTTTAAATTAAAATTATTTTTTCCATACAATTATTGTCAAATTCGAGAGTTTTCCATCACTCGAGCTCTATTTCTTGTCAGGTTTTCGAGGTGTTGTTTCCTTTTCTATTGTTTATTGTAGGACTTATCTAAAATTTTCCACTTTATTTAAAATAAATGAAATTTGATAATACGTACATTGGATGGGACCCGCTTGGGGTATCAAGGTCCGACAATACGCAGCCTTCGCCTTATTTCATGGACCTGAAAGTGAAACATACTATCCAAACAGTGTCTATCAGCTAACAAGATATCATTCCTAAGTGAATTATAAACACTAGAGCTAGTATCGGGTTGGGTACGGGATGGGTCCGGCTGGAATCGGATCTAGACCCGAATAGTATTCGGGTCCAAATTTGGATCTATACCCAGATTTTTCAAGTCTCGGATCTACCCGTTGCTTTTTGGGTTTGGTCAGATCCATTGCCATACCTATGAGTTCTTTCTTTTGCCCTAAATTTTACCATCGTAAGATCTATAACTGTGACCTTTTTTTTGTTTTGCCAATAATATTATACATGTTGCCCATATTGTGACAATATGAATACCTAGCATGTATCTGAATACACATTATTGTTGTCATCATATACCCCATAACTGCAAGTACCGGTCAAGTTCGACTCGACCTGAAAAATATTCCGGCGCAACATTTGGGCTCATACCCAAACCCGAATTCGGGTCTAACCGTCGGGGTCTGGTCGGGTCCATTGCCACGCCTAATAAAAACACACTCCATCTCTCTTCCTTCTAATCAAACATCTGGACTCTCTCTCTAGAAACACACACTCCCTCTCTATAAAGACTCTCTCTCTATACACATGCACTCTGTCCTTCACCAAATGCATCCTCTCTCTCTCTAAAGGTCCAGCAGGCATTTGAGGCGAAGGGAACACAGCCAACTGTTCCCTTATCCTCTCTGAAGGATGAGGATGAAATACTTGACATTCCCAACGGCTAGTCCCACGCTCCTTTTTCGAAAATTTAAAATTTTCTGAAACCCCACCGACCAAAACAACTTTTCCAGCTCAACTAAGCGCCCATTTGCTGCAACTCCAAACCCCTATTTCTATCCTCCAAAAAAACCCATTACAGCAGCAGATTTTCATGCCCCTCCCCTCTCCGTCTCCCTCTCCCTCTCCCTCTCCCTCTGCACAACTAAACCCATCTTTCTAAAAGTTCAAAGGAGAAAAGCCCCATTCTTTCTCTTGAAAACCTGAGAAAACCCTTTTCCCCCTCTTTAGGGGTGTATATGCCTGATATTTGGAGCTGTGTTTTATACTTCTGGGAAAACCATGTTTCAAGCCTGAAATTCTCTGGAGGAGGAGCACTTTTTTTGGACCGGAAACTCCTTAGAAATTCAAATATTGTGAAGACATTTTTTTTTTGGAAATCGCAACGTTTCAGCTGAACATTTTCACTTTGTCCTGATAGGTAAGTATCTGAAATCACCAATTTCTTCCTCTTAGAGATTCTTATATAGAAACTCTTTTTTTTTATATTTCAAAACACCCAGAATCCTGTACTAGAAACACCCATATTCCATTTCCAAAGCAAAAGCTCAAAAAAAAACCCAGGAAACAGCCAAAACCTCCTTTGAAAACCCACATTCTAGGACCTAGAAGAAAAACCCTGCAAAATCCAAGTTTTTTCTCTACAGTAAGTAAATCACTTTGGAAAACCCTCTCTCTCTCTCTGCATATCTCCAATGCCGAAAAAGGTCAACACAATAGCGAGACGAGCCTGGGACCTCCTAAGATGGGTCATTTTCATGGCCAAGAAAAGAGGGTATCTCAAGCACAAACTCATTCTCTGCAAGAAAGCAATCAGCACAGCAAGAATCAAGCTCTTCCAATCTCCCGAAAAGAAATACAAATACATAGCAGCGTACCAGTTCTCACCCGATAACTCCCCTGTTTTTCAATACTCAAGGAAACCCAGTCGAAAAAGTCAAAGGTTTCACCTTGCAATGGTTATTCTTCCTTGTAAGGATTGCTTCTCTGTCCAACAACCAGAGGAGGAACCCGAGATATCGCCCATTACCGTCTTTTCAGGTGAGGTGGGGTTGTCAGATGAAGAACCTGATATTTCGGCAATTACTGTATTTTCTGGTGAGGTGGGGTTGCCTGTGTCATGTAGCCTGACTGATATAGAGGAAGAAGGTGACTGTGTTGATAAGAAGGCTGAGAAATTCATTGCTAGGTTTTATGAAGAGATGAGGATTCAAAGGGAAAAGGAGTTCCTTTTGTGAAGACTATAGATGTTGGTATTCTATTGCTCCAAGGATACTGTTATATTCTTCTTCTTTTTGTTTGGGTTGTTTTTAGTTTCTTCTTGGCAGGAATTTTAATTTGCAGAGAAGAAGTTTCAAGCGTTGGGGCATTTGATTTCAAGGTAGAAGGGGAAGCCTTCAGATTTTGATTTGGATTTCCTTTTCTGGAAAGTTTGGAGCTTTGTTTTAGTTGATTAAATTGGTTTAATGGAGAAACATGGTAATAACTAATAATTAGACACTGTATTCCAATTACCAAGGAAGTATTAAAATGCTATTGTTCCAGAAATTTAGCACAGTCTCTCTCTCTCTCTCATATTAGACAAGTTAGGTCCATCTCTAAATTTTGCCGGGAGATAGTGATTTTGTTTTGGAAATCTTATGATAGGTCGAAAATCTATGTTTAAACCTAATTATGCAATTTAAAGTTTAAAAAATGAAGCAAATCAATCATATCCGTGAATATTTGAAAATAGAAGATCCAGACAACTTGCAACAAGATACACTATTTTTAAGACTTTTAAATTCTTTTTTAGAGGCGCTAAATAATCAAAGTAAGACACTTTCAAATACTATCAAAATATAATGTTTCAGTATCATAAATCTTTGAGGGTCAGAAAATTTATTTTCATCTTTGATTATAAAATTTAAATATTCAAAAATAGTGTAGATGGAGCATATCTATGAACACTTAAAAATCTTGAAAACTGACGGTCTAGAAAATACAATAAATGATACATTGTTTACAAGACTTGAAATCTATTTTTCTCATTTCCTTATATCTTAAGGTCGAGATGATCGAGTTAAAAGGTTTTTCAACATCAAAACAACCCCTTCTAGTGAATTTTTGAGGCGCGCCTTAAGTTAATTGTTTAGAGCTCGTCTTTATATAAACTTTTTCCTTTACTTTATATCCATACATCTCGAAGTTGAGAAGATCAAAGGAAAGGTTTTCCAACTTTTTCCTTTACTTTATATCCATACATAAAAACCTTTATGTAGTGCAATAGCAAAATTAGCCATTTGAATTTGGCAAAAAAAATTTCATTTACCTAAAAATAGTTATAAAAAAATTCTTAAAAGGCAAATAGGAAGCATTTTGCAAGTGATTGATAATGATATGAAGTTAAAGTTGTCAAACTGGATAATGGGTTTCATATTTTATTTTTGATTTGTACGAGAAGGTATTTTTTTCACTTTCCATTTATAAATTTTTTACCATATTTAATTTTTCATTTTGTATAATTTGAATTTAACTTCATCCTATCTCATTAAGAATTTATTTCATAGTAAATAATATATTTAATTCAATGTATTAAAGTCACTATAACTATTTGTTAAACTTCTAAGGGTATGTTTTGTGTGCGCGTAAATATTTCTCGAGAAATATTTACATATGTAAATACTTTACTTGTGAAAATATTTGCATATGCATTTTTTTTTTACCATGTTTGGTAGCACATTTAAAAAACACTGAGCAAACAGTTTCATATGTTTGGTATCATGTAGTTCGTGTGAA